GGACGCGCAACACGCGCGGGGGTCACCCGGCTTCGCTTCACCTCCTGTGCTCCGTTTTATTTTTCTCCCCCCCTCTTCCCCTCCGGTTTCCCAAGCGAAGTGTTTTAGGAGAGATGATACATTATCTATTCTTGGATTTTTATAAGGCAAACTGTGGGCCTCGCTGTTGCCATGGGATCTTCTTTGTGCGAACTCTCTGAACTGTGTGGGAACAGTTTTATTTCCTTCCCTTCAGATTTTTGTCTTTTTTTTTTTCCCTTCTCTTCTGCAACTCTTCTGAAGATATGTATCAAAATGTAACTCCATTATGCCAATTAAGATTAACAGCAGCTGCAAGGTGCATCTAATTAGGAATGTTAATTACTTCATGAAATAAATAGTCATTTGCGGATGTTTATTATACTAAACAAATGTTCTATAAAACATAACTCAGATTCTGACACTCCCCTCAATACATTTGTTCCCATTCCTGCACAAAGGTGCAGGGGAGTCGGCGCCCTTCTTCCACTGCATTTACCTTCCAGGTGCACACACACAGGGAAGAGATGGAATTGCCTGTGCATAGGTACAGGGTTGCATGGGAGGCATTTTGAACTCTTACAACCCATTGTATGGGGTGGGAGTGTGGAGGAGCAGGAAATAGCTGAGCAATATGAGGTAAATGTGTACAATTACATATCTGTTTATTTCTTTGTAAATAACACTCTTCAAAACCTGGACAAAGAGACTAGACTGTTCACTTACTTCTTCATCCATCCTGGCTCCTTGTAGGGTCCTTCCTTGTAGAGAGGAATCAAAATTGCTGCAGTTATTAAACCCCCAATATCTTACAAGAGAAGGGAGAAAAGAAAAAGCGGCCCATGGAAGAATATGCTTATATTATGGAATATGATAAAGGATTATCAATAGGCAGATAACATGCCATGTAGAGTCAGTGGGTTGCAGGAGGGGTGGGAGCTGTTGCAGAATTTGTGGAACTTGCTCACACCTCACCCCATCTGTCCTTATAAGAGAATGGCGTTCTTCGTGTCAGATAAAAAAATAGATGAAACTAGAAACGAGTGCAGCGGCCAGTAGTCAAAATCCAATGTTAAAACAAAAAAATTAATGTGACTGGCTAAACCAGGCATTCAGATACTACTATGATGAGTGATCCATATGTGTGGGCAGGTAAAAGAGACATGAGAAACTTTATGGGATTCTCTTTGTGGATCAGTATAGGGCATTTTATGTTAGCTAAGTGACTCATACCATATACTTTAGAGAGCAGGTTTGGGTGCTTGATTTAGAAGCCCGGGCATCCTAGCTGCTTGACAGAGTGAGACGGAAAGACAGAGGGGTTCCCAACTTTGGTTCTCACCATTATCCTTTGGGAGAGTTGCTTTCTCACCATGGGGATGTGACAACAGACTCCCAGCACAGGCACCTCCATCACGGGAATTCCAAGAGTCTTCCTTGTGCCTTGACAGAGCAACAGATGCTTGAGGCTGCTCATAGTCTGCAAAGGGCAGAGAGTAGGAAGGAGATGCTTGGGCTAGCCCTAACCCAATTTGTCTTCAGTTCCTGATGCTTTACAGATTTCTCTTCCACTGATAGCTAAGCCATTTAATGTCTCCATCCTTTTGTTCCTTCTCTGTATAATGTGAATTAACACTGTTCTTACTCATAAGGGTGCAGTGAAGATAAAAAGGCATTAATGTTTGTTAGGTGTTCTTACACAGTGGTCATGGGAGCTATATAAGTTCCCAGAGAGGCTGATTAAGTGTCTGGCAGAAGAAACGGAAAATGAAAAAGGGTGGAAGCCAAAAGCTGTGAACAAAATACAATGGAGTTGCTAAAATGGCTGAAACCAGACTAATAACACAGAAAACTGTAGACCATTCACATGTGCAGAATACAAACCACCTGTGTTCTTGAGTTAAATTTATCCCAGGATTAAAGAAACTAGATTCTGTTCATTTCTCAGTTACTGAATTGCTATGAAGAGCAATGTAGGTGTATGGATACAAGCATAAGAGATTTTTTTTTTCTCAGCCACATACTTAATCTCTAATTGGCTTCATCCTGCCCTTAATAAGTATGGTTTTTAGGATGTAGAAGGGGATCTCCTTTGTCCTCCTCATGACTTGTGTTTTCAAGAAATTTCACCAAACAGAAGAGCATAATCTTGTCTGTTTTAATTCCATGGCATTCAGTGCATGCTGAAATGTTTAATATGAATGGGTAGTGTATCTTGTACCTGAACTATATGTGTGACCTTGATGCCTTGTGTCCCTTGAAAGAAGGAAGAGGCACAAGCCAGATCCCCATATACACCTCAGTGTGTGTCCTTAAAAGGATCATCACATTTAGTGTGTGTTAAGTGAAACAGTGCAGTCAAAGTAAGCTTCCTTTTCTAAAAGTAATACGTATCTAAAATGAAAGGGCTGATAGGGTATGTGGGTCTGAAGGACGTTAACTTCATGCAGAATGCTCTTGGTTGGTAAATCCAGTTTATTTGAATGGGTACTGCCCAGGAGCTGATATCCACAACCCCCTTAGCTGCCAGGGGTTCTACAAAACTTCATGGCCTCATGCTTACCCTGCCAGCAAATCTGTCCTGAGGGTCCAGAGACTGGCCGGTCTTGATTTCTTGTTACCTGCCTGTGGATTTTAGGTAGTAAACATTGTTTCCATTTGAGTATTTATTTTCCACTTAGCAAATGCAGGGAGAAACAGGGTAACACAAAACACCAGCACTTGCACATTCTCTTGCTGAGTGTGCATATACAATAGAACTATGACATGATATGAATCTGACAGCATGGAAAACAAGCATAGATTTTTAGATTTAAAAAGTAATGAAATCACAGTTTCCAAAATATGCCTTCACTCCCCCACTAAAAACACCAAACAGAACCCCTGCTCATGTAAAAATCTGCTTCTGAGGCCTTTGATCATGTAAACTGCATTTTCAATCTAATCACTAAACAGTTTCAGCAAAGAAAAAAGATCAGCATTTTGTCTAGCTTTTTTCTTTTCCCCTTTTCAAAACACAATTGCATTGATCTTAATAGAAACAGGTTCCCTTTTGTCCACTTTTGGCAGACTAAGTGGCCTTGAATGCTTCAGAGAGAACAAAAGAAAACATGAAATCTGCTATGTGATTAACTTCCTAGTTCTTGGGTTCTTGTGTATATTTTATATTTTTAAATTTTGTATATCTTATGTTATATATAATTGCATTTTATTTGTTGAGTGCTTTATATATTGTATATATAAATATATAAATATATAAATATATATATATATATATACACACATGTGTATATATCCTTTTCATAAATTTAGGCAAGAGTGTTCAAGAAAAAAGATATTTTAGAAAGAATAATCCCTAATTCTGTGTCATGTGAAAATTTTGAAAGCAATTTCCTTTACAGAGGAGCCTGATTCTAACGAGTACATACCTAGTCAGGGAATAATACTCATCTAATAATGAAGAGATTTAATCACAAAAATTCTTGCTTATAGTTTTAATTGCAATTATATTTTTCTTTTCCTGAGCCACTGTTGGGTTTCCATAGTCAAATTTTGGTAGCAGGGGAAAGAGCTGCAGGGATGAGAAGCTGCTGGAAGCTTCCTCCATGTCCAGCAGAGCCAATGCCAGCTCCAGGATGGACCCACTGCTGGTCCAGGCTGAGCCCATCAGGAATGGTGGGAACACCTCTGGGATAATCTATTTGAGAAGAAAAAAACAAGTTACTGTGCAGTTGTAATTACAGCCAAAGAGCAGGGTGGGAACATGTGAGAGGAGCAGCTCTGCAGACACCAAGGTCAGTGGAGGGGAGCAGTGGAGAGGCTTTGGTGGGTGGGTGGCATCCAGACAGTGCCATCCCACCACAGCCACATGCACCTTTCCCTAGGTACAGCATGCTGTGCTGATTGCTGAGCTGTGTTGTCCCAAAGTCCTGCAGTTGTACTGTGCTTTTCCTGTTGGTGCCATTTTTGTGTGGCTGATTTGGCAGCTTTGTCAGACAGCCCAGGGTATCTGGTACCCTGCTCTGCCAGGGCCTGACAGATATTCTGTGTCAGGTACTCATCGGCTGTAGGTGGCCTGGGCAAAGCATTACAGAACCCATGG